GCTTAACAAAAAGCCGCTCAAAATTATGCACAAAGATTTCTGTGAAATATAATTCTGAATATATTAAATGTTGTGGCTGAGAATTTTAATCTAATTTTTTTCATGCGAAAAAAATATATATCTGAAATGCTATAAAAAAATATCTGAAATATCTGAAATGCTATAATCCTATATTATTATAAAAAATATCTGAAATGCTATAATCCTATATTATCATAATCTGAAAAAACAACTTCTGAGTTTCAGTTCGCCTAATAAAGACGTTTCAAAAATATCGGCCGCTTAAGTTCACTGCTCCACCGCAGATACTGAAGTAAAAAAAACTCCATAACGCAAACTAAAAAAAATTAAATGAAATTGAAGATAAACTACATTCCATATCAATCTATAAATTATCTGTAAATCAACATCGCCGAGGAAACGAAATGATTAATTCACAAAGAGTAACATATTCTAATATATTGAAAGCTGTTCAGAAAATGCACTGTGAAATTGAAAAAGGTTCCAAATAAATCTCAAAGCACCAATCACCTATTTACCTACCCGAAATAATCAGGCACAGTGGTCTCATTTTCAAAAATATAATCAGATAAGTGCTAAGATACCCTGGACTGGCTTATATGGCAAGCAAATTGTCTTTCTTTTGTTGAACAAATTTTCATGACATTTCTTAGATGCCAAGAAAAACGCAGCGAGGATCAACAAGAAAAAAGGCGAAATATAGAAAGTGAGCTGTTTAGTACTTTATGCAGTGGGGACTATTATACGGAAAAAAGTAAGTTGAAGGCGATAACTTGGCTAGACTGCGTTAAGGACTGAGATATAAATAAACGATTAGTTGGGAGATTAATTCCATAAGTATCCTCACACGAGTTTTCATGGCTTTTTAGCAAAAAGTACCTATTAAGGCTAGCAAGCACATTACAACACAATGAAACAAAAAGGACAGTATTATGAAAAACGCAGTTGGTTACAGATCAGTCAAGTAAAATTGGAAATGTTGCCTGAATCTCAATTCTGCTATTTTGACACACTTTGAAGGTCAAATGCTGAAAAAGATAAGCAAAACAGATCAAAAAAGATAAGAAAGATAAGTAATAACTTCAGACTGGTTTTATTGTTATAGATAGAAAGTTCAACAAATAACTAACACTTGCGTAGAGAAGAAGCAGTGGAACATTTCACCTATTACTACTTTCGTCCACAGCAAACATAAGACCTTCGTCTGATTGATTGTCATTTTCTCCGTCCTTTTTTTCTGCTTCTTTTTTCAAGCTTGTTGAAGCTCTGCCTGTCTGTTTTTCAAATGACTCCACATCATCTTCCATTTCTTCCTGCAAAGAAAAGAAAGAAAAAGTGAAAGAATTTCAACAATAAGATCTATAAACTGCTATGATTCGATGCAAAAGAGCAAAAGAGTTGTATGTCAAAATCTGTAAAATATAGTTTAACAAAGCACTACTAAATCCCACAAAAATTAGACTTGAATAAATCTATCAGAAAACCAGAAAAACAATGAATTTTTGCTGGGTTATATTACTCGGTCACTGTTCCAGCTTTTAAAAATCGAATGAACTCCATTTTCTAATAAACAGAAACCTGAGCTTTCCTCCATGCATGAAGTTGAGTTAGCTTTTCAGTCAAACATTTGGTAAAGTACTGCGAATGTGCTGGTGAAATCTCTTCAAGAAGCTGCCTAGCATTTTCATAATATTTTGCATGCAATCCAACCTTCAAAAGAAAATAAATCTTAACAGTTGTTAGATGTTTAAGTGAATATTTCGTATTGTGTCTAACAGAATTTTTTTGCCAGAATTTCACATAAACAACTAATCTGTAGCGAAACGAGTGGAAGATAAAACAAGAATGCTTTCTGAAAACAAACCATTTAAGATAAATAGTTTTTAAAAACCAATGAACTAACACAGTACCCGTTTATAATCTCCATTCATACTATCACACTGCAACGATGCAATCCGCCATCCTTTCATTGTTAATTCTAACGTATAAGGATGACCTGTTTGTAGTTTAATAACGACTTCGAAAATAATGGAAGTCAACTATATGAAGTATCGCCCTTTACATTAATAATAACTTGAAGAATAAAACAGAGGAAAAATTAACTGTTCATTACAACAGATACAAACAACCCTACTTTATAATCATGACTTCTCACCACTTGTCTATGTCAATACAAAAGGTTTTAGGATATTACAATTTATACAGAGATCGACTATCTTGGACCTTATAATTCTATACTAAAGGATTTCATACCCATCAGAATCTAACAAAATTGAGGTAAAAAAGCGATAAAGCAGTTCTTTCGTATAAGACTCTCAGACCAAAAGATATGCTAACCCTCGACAGTCTTAATATTTACGAAAATCAAATCGGCTGTTCGTGGCAAGATTTCTGATACAGCAATTGACCGCACTTCATTTGAGAGTTCGTGCACGGCTGCTATAGCTTCTAATTCTAAAGGGCCACCAACACTTTGCTCATTTAGTGTATCACCAACTTCAGCATGACGTTTTCGATTAGCGCGACCTATTTCAACGAGAGAAAGTGGTGTTCTGAAAAAAAAGCAAGTGTACCATTTTAAGAGTTAAATATGTTTGAAAAGCTTTTGACAGCCTATCTCACTTTTTTCCAACTTTGATTTTTTAAGAACTAACAAATAGTTTGATAAATATATTCAGCAGTAGAAAGAGAAAGAATAGTTCAAGACAGAATAAGTGTAGCGCTTAGTCAAAAACTTTGGCGACAAACATGAAATAATAATTCCATGCATCTAGTATTTAGATCCTGAGGCACAATCAGAAGTCGTGGAATTAATCCGAACACATTTCAGTAGAAGATAATTTCTTTAGTGTAAAGAGGAAACAAAAGCAAAATCTTCAAACCGAGCTTACAAGTATTAATTCACAATTCATACCCGAAAATGTTGTAAACGGTAGAAATATGATCGGATATTAATGCTGGAGTCAAACTTGGCGGATACATAAATGCTTCGTGAAATCCATCCGCCGCTGGGCTGTGAGCACGACTATGTGTTCGGCTGCTTTGATAACTCTGATAAATTTGTGCTGCACTCTGCCAACGAGCTGAGCTAAAAAAATAACTAATGAAAGCAACAAGTATTAAAATTATAAGGCACAAACACAAAGACACACACATCTTTACTTCATATACTTCTTAAAAAAAAAAAAAATTCTATCTCAAAGCGGACAAACAAATGAGTGCTTTTTGCTGCTGTCTCAGGCGCCACAGAAATTATTATAATATCGATATAGAAAACATCATAAGACAAACTATTGTGCCCTTGGTGGCTGCATTCAGCTTAATGCTACGTATTTTAAAAAATGACGGGAAGCTTCATTTTCTACCAAATCGTGGGCAATATTTGATTTATTGACTAAAAAAATCTCTTAATCAGCCTGCAAATCATGCCTACGCATCGAAAAGAAACTAATTTGATGATGCTCAAATATTTGTGGTCAGGCAAATTAAAGAAATTTAACTAAGGAGTGAGATTACAGAACTCGATGAATATCAAAAATACTGAAGATAACTTAAAAGAAGCAATCAAAGTCATAATGACTTCACTTCCTTAATATCAGGTATTTTTTGAAAATGGACCAGAACTCAGAAATTAATTCATTTCAGCTCTTCAGTATGAACGATTTTTTTTCTATAGACGATAAAGAAATCTTACTTCTGTTGACGATAAAGAGGAGAAACTCCAAGGCAATCGGCCAAGCAGTTTGCGGTGGGTGTACCTATCGGATGAACTCCATGAAATGAGAGTGCCGATGACGGACCTCTACAGCTTGGCGATGACGGAGGAGTAAATGGTAACGAATGAGCCATCACTTTTTATTCTAAAATATGTATTCATCTGGATCACATTATTTTGGTGAGAACTATAAAAGCTCATACAATTAATTTTCCAAAATAATGCTGCACGTCAGTCTACTACCAACAAGATATGACACGACCAAACCTTTCAGTAAAATCTAACCTCTATGTTGCACCACGGTGGCTCTCAAAGGGTTCGAATGAGATGAGAAAAGGCTTACATAAAACGACACTACAACATCCAGTCAAACAGTCACCTGAATAGGATGGTTTATGAGTCCACACGTGACTTCACATCACTTACCCAAGCCTTATTTATAAATTAACGTCCAATGTGTTGTAAATGAACTGTTAATTCCAGGACCGTCTGTACGAGAATAATGTAGTATAAGCTTAATGGATACTGCAAATACTGATAATCACAACAACTTGAACAGCCAATATGCTCAGTGGAAGGCTCAATCGCTGTGAAACCGCACAATCTCAACAGTCCAGTGGATATATACACATACGCCCAAACTGATGCATTCCATTAATTCATCCTCAATCCTATGAAATCTTACAGATTTGAAGAAATTTAATTTCGAGGTAGGAATTGCATGCTTTAAAGTTGCGTACCGCTAAGGAGAAAGCTGTTTTCATATTTTGCCCTCTACGAAAGAACTGCCCTGTAGAAAGCACAAAGTTAACAAATTGACTAACGATGGACACTGATTCTGATAAATTTGTACCTTGATAATACTATTCAAACTCTGCACTATCTCTTCAAACGATGCTGTTCGGCAGTAATTCCTCATATCCCAAAGCTTGCAATCTAACGTTTTATCATGCTTTTCCATAGGAGGTACTTTTTACTGTGTCTCAGTTATTATGTACTTTACCCATCTTTGAGTATACGAAAAGTCTCTAGTGCTTGTATGCAGTGAAATGTGTAATAAGATTTAAATATCAATATACGTATCATTTTTCATCAAACAATTATGTTAGAATGATCCCAAAAGCCGCACATAATAGGCTTCCTTCACTGTGAGCCACTCATTTTGAAATGTTTATATCTATTAATGTCATTACAGTCATATTTACAATTTAAAAAATAAGATAACTAAAAAAAAAAGATAATGCATGAACGGAAAACTGAGCAGTCAATGCAGTGATTGTGTTTGGAATTTGTGAACGAAATCGCTGACATTTTTCAATTTCTTTAAACTTCTTTTCAGAAGTTTGACAAAATCATAGGGTTGCACAATGACAGTAAAAATAGACAAAGGTAAAGTATCGATCTGTCTGAGAACTTCATCATTTTTCGAAAATATATTCAAACTATGTCTGTTTACACAAGTAATGCAAGCAGGAGTTGTGCCTGTTCGTGTAACTGCTGGAACTAAAGGCCGAATACCGGCTTTCCATGCTGGTGACCCCTCAAGAACGTCAGCCAACTGAAATAAACTGCACAGATACGACAAAATTCCTCACGACTAAGCTAACAAAGGTAGCCTAGACCTTTTTTTAAAAGTAATAAGTATTACTTTATTTTTACGTTTATCCAACATTAAGCCTGTTTCAAATTTCTGCGTCGTTTTCTGTAATGTGTAAATTGTCCCGTAAGGCACTCGCTGAATGGCAATATTTACCTAAAATGAGATACCAATCAGGTCTGTCAAATTTGTCGAAAATCTTCAAGATGCAACATGTTGTAAAATCTGCCTTGCAATATAATAAATGGAATCTTTTAGTAGTATTTTTGCCGATAACGACTATCCTAAGTATGGTTTACGCCTCAAGAATGTTTTACATAGAAGAGAAATATTGTGATTTATAAAAGTACCGAGAACCCTGTTTTAGATGTAGCGCCGAAAATGAGTGGAATTTGTTGTGTGCTGTATATGTCAACATCAGCAATTCGTACAAGTTGATCACCAATAAACAATTGATCGGTAAGATACTTTTCAGCTATTGCAGTCCAACCCGTTATCCTAAATAAACAAATAACTCGCTCCACAGTTATTTGAAAATTAACTGATATTGGAAGAAATCAAGGTACGAACTGAAATTTCAGTTTAACTTTACTTAAAACAAAGCATAACGACAGAAACGTAATCATGGTCAATAAAACTCCTTTACAAGAATTCGGGAACTAAAAAGAACATCGAAACACTGACCACACTTTCCCACCGAAATCTATGTAAGCAATATGCTGCATACATATGAAGGGTTGCACTGTTAAATTTCTCAAACCACTTGAAATACCACTATTACTGGTGATTTGTGACTGATTCTGTTCTTCAGCTAACATTCCACTGCTGTTTTCCTTATAAGTTGAATGGGTCTTTTGTAGTGAAATGTTTGTGATTGGAAAAATCCGACTAATCGAACCAGAAAGAGAGTCATAATCCAGTGAGGACGAATCACTTCCAGTAATACGGCGTGAGTGAGCTATACTGGCATTCAAGGTTCCAGTTGGGACAGAATAACCACGCTTCACCGATTCGGAATACAAACTCACCGGTGTTATTTCAGTGTCCAGTAATGTCGGTTCCTCCAAAGTGCTGTAAATATTTCTAATCCTGAATGCTCTCATATTTAAATGGAAGTACCGATTTTATAAAATTTTATACACTTCAAAGAAACCATTTTTATGTATTCTGGTAAATGAAGAGGGAAGAACCCAGTTTCATTCAAGAAAAATAGCCAAAAGCAAAGTTTTGCAGCTGGCTGTATATAAATAAAATGAATGTTTCCCCATATTTAGGTTCTCTAAGGCAAATATTTATTTATGTAATATTTAGAAATGGAAATTACACAAAAACCTGACAATTGCAAAGGACCATGAAACACTGGAGTTACAACTAACGAGGAAGAAATCAATAGTATAAGTTATAAACATATACATAGAATTTCCCGGATTAGCTGAAACGTCTTCCGCACGTTCTTCTACAACCGATGAATCGCCAAACGATATGGATGTATGATTCTTTGGATGATCATATATTGAGCAACGCTACAAAATTAATATTTTGTGGAATGAGAATTTTGTAAACCTATGAATTTTTTCAGTGTTCATGAAAACCTAAAAAAAAAAAAGAAAAAGAAATTCATCTAACTTTGACACAACCAGAAATTTTTGCAATAAAGTACACTTTACATGAAAAACTGAACAATTTTGCAAAATCAGAGAATCATTTTTTGGTATGGAATCAAATAAGTTCCATTTAATATTGGAAAGAAGTTAAAGAAAGACTAACTTCTGCACTAGTCTTAAGAACCTGAACTTCTGAAAACGAAATATTACGGGGCGGGAGTGGAGGTAGAGTCTTCATCACTCTATGATTCCTCGCTTTTTTCTCTTCAGCGTTTAGCGTACGAGGCAAATGTGATATCCCAAACAGTTGCGTTGATGATGAAAACTTAATGCGTTCATAATTTGAATTTCTTGCAGCAGAAATTGATGAGGCCAGTTCTTCAGGCACCTTAAAACTTATCGCAATTGATTTCGAGCACAGGGTCTGCTTTCATTTTCTACTTATGGAAACAATAAAGAACAAACATTCTGTAGATGAAACTTAATCGCACTAACAACCCTATACTGACCAAAACACAAAGCAAAACGGTAAGAGTCAAACCAGAGCTGTTGAAAGCGCTTTCTGTTTCACGTATCTCTATATCTGTCACAGACTGACATATTATAAAGCATACCTCGTTAAGATGAGCATCTTCATGAAGAAACTGTTCAGTTGCTCTTAATGATTCAGATGCAAAATCAGGTACTGAAATATAGAGATTTACTGATTCCGTCAAACATTTTAATCGCATGAGGGCGGATGTTGTTGACCGAATCCAATCATCACAATCTTCTCTGAAAATTCCGTTAGCAGTAACAAATTCAAGAAATCCTCGTTTTTATATTTCCATGCTTCCAGCATCGAGAAATACGTTAGGTAAGAACTAAAGTGAGATCCGGTATTCTAGAAAGACCCAAAGCTTTAAATTTGAAGTCTGTGCATAAAGCTTATGCACTAAAGCAATGCAGTACAAACCACGTTCTACATATCATATAGTCTATAATGAAAAACGACGCTTTAATAATAGAAATTTTCCTTATAAAAGAAAAAAAAAAAAAAAAACGAGCATTACATTGTCAAAGCAGAAAGCTCAATGGCATCACGTGAACAATCCACAAAACCAATCATGAAACTGCGTCTGGATGGGTCACTCATAATGACCCTTACAAAAGACGAACCTAACAAATCGATTACTTTCGAAGGTCTAAAATTATTCGCTGCACAGTAATTAGAATATTGGATCGAATCTATGGACCAGAAACTGCAAAAAATACACTTACAATTACATAGATTAGCTAAAATTCTTAATCTAATTAACTTTTCGAGATAAAATACCTATGTCCATGCACATATTCTTCTGAGAAGTACCATTCCAAAAGTGGTATACGACCACTGTGAACACATAATACGACCCACTTCCCTTCTTCATATAGAATTTTCTAAAATAAAGACAACAGCCAGCATAATGCAATAATGATTCTTTGTAAGAATGTGTGAGGAATATTAAATTGAAATTTACCGCTTTACGATGTAAAGTGCCACCTTTTTTATGTACTACGTGCTGTAACCAGCTTGCTTTTATAATTTCACGTTGTTCACTCATTCATTTGTTCCCAATCGTCAGATCTGAAAATTTTCATACTAAAGACAAGCGGAAATTGTAATGCAAAGACCGAACAACGCATGAAGAAGAGGAGCTTATAAATATCTTGTAAATAACCAATATATATCCCACTGAATCTTAAATATTTGACGTTGCTTTTAAAGATTGAAAACATTAGATACTTCCAGACAAAAGCTCATTAAAACTTGGAACGAACCTTCACATCTCAACTAAATCACTTACTGGAGAGATGGTCAAAGTGCTACTACTGAATACAGTTATCGATACTTGAAAAAACTCTCATGGAAGAGCATGAAAACTGACACTGTTACCATAAATCAAAAAATACGTCATTGATCGAATTAACATTGAAGATTCAAGCAAACAACTTGCATTACTTTATTTGTTTCTTAGTCCAACTTCATAAATTAAATGCTCACACTGGATGAAGAGTATTTGAAAATCTGTGTACATATATACAACCAGATCATCATGAGCATCCATGTCACTTTATCATGTTTGTTTCACTTGATAAACTAGATGTAAGCACAATGAATCAACCCTTAGTATTCAAATAATTAGTTTTGAAAGTTCTTAAATCAACTTAATTAGTTAAACAATCAAGTAAACTTGAACAGTGATTTGTTCTACATTCACAAATCTACTTTATCCATGTGGGTGCGCTCTGAGATCAACAACAGTAACTTAAGAAATTTGGTTCGGATTTTTATTTTGAAATTTTTTACATCAAACGCACTTGTTAACAACTTTAGTGCAAAATGTTCAGCGATGCAAGTTAGACTCAGAAAATAGTTAAGACCCACTTAACTTTGTACGCAATAAGAAATGGAGTGCTCTTGGATATACTGGGGAACTTTTTTACAATAACTCGGTAAATCACTGAGCATCGCTTCTGTACTTTACTTTCAAAAGGGGGTCACGAAAGAAGATGCTAATAATTCGTAAGCACAGTGATAAAAAGGAGCGTCTCTCTCTCTCTCTCTCTCTCTCTCTCTCTCTCTCTCTCTCTCTCTCTCTCTATCTCCAGTGGGTTGACAAAATTCCTGCGAAGCGTCATTCACCTGATACAACCTTTCTTACTCCGCGTTCATGTCAACCCACTATTTCACTATTTTCCCCAACACTTGTAATTGGATAATTAGCTCTCCGGATTGCTAAACCGATGGCTTCATCAGTGTTTTATTTAAACTTAAATTTATGTTATTTCCTCGATCCCATGTAGCAATAGCACTTTTCCGGTGCAATTGATTAAATGTCTAATTCTAGCTTCTCTCATATAATAAGCAATAGGTGATAAATAGGAAAATACACAAACCCACAAAGGTAACCGATAAACGCCTTGCATCAATCATTGATCACCCTGTCCTCTTACTTCCACTCTTCCGTCCTACAAAATTTACATGGTGCTAAAAGCGCTGATCGCATTACAGTAACTCGGGGAATACTGAATTGAAAGTCGAAAATCTTGGTAGTCTCGGTGAACACTATTAGTAACTAATTATCAAAGAACCGTACATTTTCCATTACATTATTTAAAGTCTCTACAAATTAATCCATTCAGTAGAGTGCACATTGCGCACCACAGCATGTTCATCATAAATTCCTAAACTTCCGTTTTGTATCCATCTTTACACTAAGTTTCTTTTCCTGCACTTCCACACAAACTCTTTCTAAGGAATTTCAGTCCATTTTAAAATGGATTAAAGTTTTTTTTCTTAAAGAGATGCAGTACTAGTGAAATATCCACATGATGAACCCATAAGAACACAAGATATCGTAAACTGTACCGCATCATAGCGCATGATGGAACGGTGTGCTACCACAGGGGGACCTACAAAGGGCCCTACCACATCTTCAACCATAGTCAATCCGCAATTTCGTGATATCATTCGAGTCGGAATATGATATTTGGTTACGGAATAGTGCTTCTGATGTAATTATGCGGAAGTTGAGCTATTAGAATGATGAAACCAACGAACAATTTGCGACAAACAATTAACAAATTGTCAATACAAAGGCAATAAGATAGGTTTAAGACTGAACAACGTTAGAATAGCTATGCTAAATATGGGATAACGATCTACAGAGATCACGGGAGAGCAGAATGTTCAGAGATACCTTACCTGGGAGCATTCAAGACCCATTAATAAGCAATCCACGCATGTCACACCTCGAAGAAACTCATCAACATGCCTGCTTTCTTCTTCGGCCCCTTGGACTCTAATGAAAAGCTGCATCTCATAAGGAATTGTGTAATAGCACTTTGGAGACGTAACTCGCCATCACGTATTTATCTAGACGCACATCATGATTATGCTTGTCCAAATTTACACTCTTTGAAGTAAAAAGTGACCGTCTAAATCATGAAAGCTCCAAGTGCTGATACTAGCTGTGGTACTAGGATAGTAATTCCAACTCTCTTGAAGTCTAAATACAAATTTCACAGTACTTTCGGGTACTTATCCCACCCATTTTCTCTACTTCGTTGTCATCTTCTCAATGCAACATAAAGTCTTCCGCAATTTTATTGATTCTCGTTCTCCTTTCAGCTGTAGTACGTAATTCCACTCAGTCTCTTGTGCGCATTAAATTTTTACCTCTTACCCCTTAATTGTGTTACAATTTTCTTACCCTCAGCAGCCGTTTCATACACTTTCAAGGAGCTCAATTGAGGGAATTACGTATGTTGGCTTAAGACGAATTTCGAATTAGTGTGGATGTCGTCCAACATCTGGTTTAAGATATTCGCTTACTATGTTCATTTATATTTTAAATATGCCAATCGAGTGGGGAAATGCTGTTTTGATATGCATTAAATTCTTATGTTTCAGGACTTTTATTTTCCATGAATAAAATTGAGAAGTAAAAGAAAGATGGAGAAGATGCGGGAGGGTTTACAGCGACGAGCTCGTCGTATGCAAGAAAATTTGCAGCAGTCAGTGGGATTGTACGTTATCTTTTCATTTCTGCAAGAAATGCAGATTGGTATTAACAACAGTTTGTTTCCATTGAGGGGAATTGGATGATAGTTGGAGGTTTCCATGCTTTATTTTATTTATTTCCTTTTTTCATGCGTTATGGATGAGAATGAGGAAGTTAGTGCCCCTTAGCAATGAATATGGAACTCAGCAGAACAGGCTATCCTTCACTGCAAGAACAGGAAGCATGGATAATCGAACATTCTGTATGATGCGACAGATTTCACACTTTAACGTTGAATTTAGTCATCGTTTGTTGAAAAAATTAGTTTCAGGTCTGAGAAAAAAGACGAACTGCAAAGCGTAAGTCATGTCGAACAAAGAAACCAAAAAATTATTTTGGCAGTAAAAAACACACGGCAAAATTTGCAGAATTGTATAAGAAGTGTTAATAGGGAAGAAGCCATTGATAAGCGGAAGGTATAATTTCACGCGAGGCTTAGCTAACTATCAGAAGTTTTGAGGAAAGAAAGCTGCTGTTATTTCCTAAATCCTTGTTGTTTTATTCATTATGTATTTTTTTTAACTTTTTTTTTTTTTTTTGTTCTCTAAGAAACCACAGGATAGACAACTCTTTTACCTGAAGCAGGCTTCGAAATTGTTTTTTTTAAAAAGAATAATTTGTTGAATTGAAAGTTAGAACTAATCATAAACTAGTGCTATCAGAGAGTATGGGTAGTCTTTTGCAGAGACGATTAGATGAATTTAGTCTTTGGCAACAGCTGCTTACGGATGCGAAAGAGTTGGAAAATGTTTATCCACGTTCGCAACCATCTGTTCTTGCTGACACCCTGAAGCTGTATGGCGACGCTATGGGTGTAATTCTTGAAGAACGGGTCCTGACAGATCAGTTAATTGAGAAAAGGTTTTTACTGGATATTGATTAAACCAGTTGCACATACTATGGATGGAAGTAATACCATCAAATTTCGCATGTTGATATTGTTTTCTTTATAAATTACTCACATTATAGTGTTCTGGATGCTTTTGGAAAGTATATGGACGATGACAAAGCACTATCGAAAGCGAAAGAAAAACTAACGCGTACAGTTGTTGATGTTGAGGTTAGCAGAAAACGTAAGCAGGGAAATCATGACGAATCAAAGGCTCAGGAAATCCAGGATGAATATGATGCCTTGCAACTTAAATTAGAATCTTATAAGGTTGATTTTTCTAAATGAGATGCAAGACTTGTTTAATAATGTTTGAAATGGCTTGTTGAATAATCGACAAAAATAGCACTTTTTGCATTTAGGACAACATTTTTACGGATATTTTTATACTACTGTCAAGGGAAGCTGAAATTGCTGGTATTTATAAAGAATTGATAACTGCACAAATGGAATATCATCGGACAGCCTTGCAGAAACTCGAAAACATCTTGCCTGAAATCGATAGAAAAATTGGTGAGCATTTCCTTATGAAATTAAAGAAGGTTGGCCTTATTTCGCTCCTTATGAATTCTCTCCCAGTTAGGATGGTTTTCGCAGGGATTTGAATCTTATGATCTTCAGTTATAAATGTTTGCCATAAAATAAATCCATTGTTCTCCTTAGAAAACTCTGCATTTTTGTAGCTTCATATCCTAATCGCCCTGTGTTTGGATGTCATCTAGAAGATCACTTACGTTGCTCTAATCGTTCAGTAGCGTTGGTTCTTGAAGTGTGTTGCGCTATTCTAAAATACCAAGGTTTCCAAGAAAAGGTTTCTTATTCTAATATGAGCAGCGTATATTTTTCATAAGGCCGTTTTACGATGATTGTAATTTCACTTAAGAAGCATTGGTACAAAATTCGATAATGTAGAAGTTTTCATGCTACTTTATTTTCAGGGCCTTTTTCGAGTTAGCGGTAATAACAATCGGATTAGGCGCCTTAAAGCAGCATTTGATGCCCATCAAATAAATAATAGTTCACTGGAAATTGCCGAATACATTAATGATCCGCATTCAGTTTGTTCGGTCTTAAAATGTTATCTTCGTGAACTTCCTGAACCATTAATGACGCATACTCTTCACTCTGATTGGATTTTTATTGCCAAGTAAATTGCTGTTTGTGTAACTAAACAATTTCATGGAGCTGTTTCAAAATATTGTTAGATGCCTTTTTCTGTTCACTTAGTGTTGAGACCCTCAACTTTCGCCCCATTTTGAAAAACACACAACCTCAATTTGAATTTAAAACAGCTGTTGTATGCAACTAATTTTTGTTTTCATGTATATATATATATATATATATATATATGTATATATATATTTATTTTAAGGAGAGATCCAGATTACCGGAAGGAAGCTATATATCGACTTCTTCCTCTGATGCCAGAAGTAAATCGATACAATCTTGCCTATTTAATCAAGTTTTTACAGTTGATATTGGATTATGAAGAATATACGAAGTAATTTCTTTCATATATGTAATGACGGTAGGTGGTTTTAAAATTCATTTTCTTATAGGAATAAGGAATTTAAACTCTCGATTTTATTGCAGAATGAGTGTAGGCAATTTGTCGATTGTTTTTGGCCCTAATTTGATTGATGCTGGCGATGGTACCGAATCGGAGAATGTACTTGGTTCAAAGTTGGTGGAAACATTAATAGTCAATGCCGATTTTTTCTTTCCGAATTGTAATTTTTTGAAAAACGAAAGTTTCCAAGATGGCTTCTCAGTTAATTGGCTAATTCGCTTTTTTTGAATGCAGGAAAAAAAGCATTGCCTGTTATCTTGAAATGTGAAGTACTTGAAATGAATTTTTCCACATATCGGATTAAAATCAGTCTTTATAAAAATGTGTCCAACGCTTATATGGCTGTGCATGAACAGCTTTAAAATTTCAGCTATGTTTTTTATGTATTCATTCGTCTTTTATTCAGTTTCTGTAAGTCGTGAAATTTCTGTTTGTAGACAATTTCAACTACACATCACCACTGCTTGACTCATTTCTGCAGCGAAAGCCCGATGTAGCAAACAGCTTTGGCAGTGGAGATCGTATGGTTGCACGTGGTACACAAGGACAACAGCATACCGGGTTTTATCATGCACAAAGCAACAAGTAAGCTTGAGTATGAAAGTAATAATATTGCCGATATAGTAAATCCTTTTGTAGTTTAATCCTTTTACAGTTTTTGTTTCTTTGTGATTGTAAGTTTAGATTATTCCTTTTTTCTTTTTTTTTTTCTGTTTGTTTTGATGTGCTCTAGAGTAAGAAACTTCTTTAGAATTGTAGTTTTTATATTTAATGTTTTTTTTTTTTTTTTTTTTTAGCAATTCCTGCAAGAGTACAGTGCAGTTGCGTAATATAACCTCAGTGGTACAACAAACATCGCATCCACCATCATCTTCTACTTCACGTGCTCGTCCGAAGTGGCCAGCACCACCGCCACCTGTTGTAGGTTATTCAAATTGTAACAACAGTAATAATAATTGTTCGACTCATCATTCGAATCTTTGCAATGATAGCGTAGAAGAGATGTCGTCTAGTTTAGAAAATTTGAATAATTTTATTAGTAAAAGTCCATCAGTTGCATCTAGTGATTCAATGGCTGAATATGGCTGTACAACTAATGTTGAAATATGCGATAATTTTACTTTCCAACCACAAATGATCCGTTCCTATCACGAACCAGGCCGTCCATTACGTCCACCGCCACCACGTAATGTGGGACGGTCATCTACACCGGATGGAGGGTTTCAAACTTCTGCCGTTGATTCGGTGGAGCATGACAGCTCACAAGAGGTTGTTAAAACGTTGCAACCTGATCTGCTGCGAAGCCGAAATTCCGTAGAGAATTGTCCTAGCGCACCTCTTCCAGTTGCTTGTACAAAAGACAATCGTACTGTGGTGCATTTGGATACTGATGCTTATCATCAGTATGCTGGAACATTGTCAGGCGCTGAAAACTGTAATACATTGTCTAAACCCCCTTTGCCTTATAAGCCGAAGTCAATAATCGATTTAAACAAACCAAACGAGATCACTAAGCTTTAGTGCTGTTTTATGATCACATTGTTCACACTTCTATACACATATGTTGACATGAACTGGATTAACAAGATTTCTTAAAAACCACAACGCTGTGGAATTTAAAGCTGTTGAATTCCTTGAGCACCCTATTTCAGCTTTTTTTCCATCTATTTTATAAATTTATTTAGTCAACTTCCATTAACATCTTATTATAAGATGTATAGAAACTATTTTCCTCTGTAACTTCAATCTTCTGAGTATATCTTACTGTTTTTTGCACTAACCATTATTCTTGTTTATAAGATTGGTCTATTACATATTTACAAGGCAATAATTTGCAAATTTCATAGATATGATACTTCGGGTTAGATTTTTTTTTCTTTTTGGTTACAAAACTTTCTCGAATTATTGTAGGCATAATTTTATGTGCACAAATTTTGCATCGATACTAACAGTCAAATATGCAACAGTAATTTCCTGTTTATAAGATCTTACTACTGAACAAAAATAACGGTAGGGCAATGACAAGTTTTGTAATTTGTTTATGTTGTTGAGATAAGTAGTAAGGGATATCTTCGACACTTACCCATTTTTCTTAATTCAGATTAAGATTGTTGATACGCACAGTCACTTTGTTAAAAGTTCATAGTTTTGAAACCATTCACAGTCCTCTTTATCGCTAGTTTTACTAATTCGTTAATTTTTCTCGTCATTTAAAATTTGAGATCTTAGATGGTATCTGTCCCTCTTGTATGGAGAAATTTTCCCTGGAAGCAGTTAGCTTCTTTATATGAATGTCTTCATGAACACTTCCGACTTGTTTTCAACGTTTTATATGTAATGAGGATTGATTTTTCATCATGAACTCACTTTCCCATGGTGAAGGGTTGATCACTTCCTTCATATTTCTTTGTCCCATTCCATAAACAATGCATACTGTATGCTAAAATCTAAAAATTTTCCCTTTGGTCGACGTGATTGATTGGTTCGTTGTTATCAGCTACGAATTCATTTTGATTAATATACATTTCCTGCGTAACCTCATGCATGTTATTGTCTTTTTGAATTTGATCTGTGCGTTATTTACCGATACTTGTATTTTTAACCGCTGTTTACCAGTGGCAGCATTGATCTTCACAATGTGTTTTATCGATTCCATTCCTCTCCGATATTTGACCGTTCGGTCGCTTGGAGTTTGTGAAGGCAATTGAGCCAGACTAGTTCAGAGTGACGAGTTACACTTTTCTCATGAAAAAAGAATACTTTCCCTTGAATACATTGTTATTGCAGAAAATTAATCTTCATCTTATTGTCGAGAAATGAGTTGTTCCAGCGTAAGCCGTCGCACCAAATAAGCCATAATTCCACAAATTTTTTTATCTTTACTATGAGTTATAGTTAATCAAAGATTTGCATCACTTACAAACATCACTCTTCTATCCTACAATTCCTCTAACAACAATACTCTAGACTGCACATTGTTAGCATACTGAGATTTATGAAAACAGGGAATGCATAAATGAATAATTGTTTTACTGGTACTTCATTAAAAAAATGAAAATAAAAAGACAGAGGAGATGGTAAATACGCAGTCAAATGCTGAATCCCAGAAATGGGTGCAGTCGATAGTTAGTATGGTCCTTTCTCAAAACAGTTTCTGAATGGGATATTCGTATAGTTGAGAAGAAGATAAAACAATAAATTAAGAACGAAATCAATCAAAACGTTGCCAACAGTCTTTGGGAACACTCAAATTAACCGGACTCGGTGGTGAAGAAGTGACTGATGGTATAGATGCAAATGGATCGAAATTCAGGAATTGTAGTGGAAGGTGGTGTGGAGGAATATCTGCAAGTTTTGCTGGGCTTGCAATCGCTGCTCTTGAAGTACAAGATGGTCGTGGTGAGTCATCAGCTTTATCATTCGATGTTAATGGTAATAAGTTATCACTGAGATCGATCAGATCCGTTGTCTCTCCAACCACTGATGACGTGGTCTAAAAAAGCAATCCAGTTATGATTTTATCAGAATGAATGACTCTATTTTGGCCTTGCTATCAATGACCACCAAGCAAGGCGATAAAATACATCAACTTCACAATAAGTTCTTACAAAAACAGTCATCGAACTGTTCTGTGTAACTGACGTATCACTAATTGGTGAAAAAAACTCCAAAAAAACTAGAAAAGCTAACATATTCGCCTACAGTACTCTACCAAATCTTTTAGATATATATTTGCCATTTAGAATTTTCTGAATTTAAACCGTATTAAAAGCATACCTCACCACCAGACTCCATCTTATCCTCGGTCATCCACTGTTGTGTGTCGAATGAAAGCATTCCATCATTATAAAGAGGATGTGGTTTTCTCGAAGAAACCCGTCGAATTTCTTTTGGGGTTAAACGGCCCAAGCGTTCTTTTAACTAAAAATTCTTTAAAGTTGCAAACTACCACTCTTCAAATAAACAATTCCAAAACCATCTAGTTAGACTTACCTTTAACAACAAAGTGTTAGAAACTAAGAAAACACAAACTTACGGCAATAGAATGAACTTTATCTTTCAATAAACCAATCACATCATTTGCATTTTCTCGAACCTAAACGTAAGGCAAATTTTATGAGAAGTAACAAAGCGACAGTGAAGCATTCTTCCTATACATATACAGTCAACAGCTGAAGAGAATATGAAACCCTTGCAGCTTTAAAAACAAATAATGAATTCATGCGAAACATTCGAGAACTCATCTAAAACGGCCAGGAATGAAAAGCAAGAAATGCGGTACATTTACGAACAAGGTCTTACGCATGCATCTGCAGGAAATATCAACATTTCGCAATGTTTTCAAAAAAAAAAACACTTCTTCCCTCTCCTTTAGGTTTAACTTGTAATGTTAAATAAAGAACATGCATGAATGGTACATCACCACAATCACAACACCACAATAGCAGTACTGACAAAAATCTTACAGAAGTTACTGCATTCTGAAACATTTCTGGATGATTCTGCAACAATATTTTTCAACTTCATCAGGATCAAATAAAACAATGCAATCTGGAGACAAAAATGACCAATGTATTAGAATTTTCGGGAATTCAAAGTCTGTACGTACCATATGTGATGCTTTCAACGATTTCATTTCATTAACACGAATCTCTTTTTCAAATTCATCATCAATTGGTGTTCCAGAGTTCAGCGCTGCAATCCTTTCATCGATGAACTGAAAAGAGCAAGGACATCATCACCATTAAGACATGCACTGCACTAAATGAACTGGTGATGGTCATGGGGACCAACATAATGCCCAGTACATGTTAATAAGTTAGCAGCACAATTTTCACATGATCATTTATTAGAGCACTCTTACCCGTTCAAGATACTGCACACCATCTTGCCCAAGCAAGGACTGCAAATAAGTCTGAAGATTGGGCTTCTGATTCTGTATGAATTTTTGGCGATCCCATGAAAAAGAATACGACGAGCATGATAATCCTTTATGGTAACCACCGAAAAGAAAAACATTTGTCCTGCAATACAATTTGAGAAAAAAAAAGTTGTCACCCAGAATTTTCAGATTACTGAACCTTCATCTTAACAAACAGTCTAATCTATCTGAATGTTTCTGTGTCAGTATTCACTTATATCAGATATTATATTAAATCGCTAACCTGAGAAAAGAACGAGCTAATCTATCAGAAAAGAACATGTTGGAGGATGAGTGTAAATGATGTCGAAGGATACTTAATGCTTCAGCCGGCAAATCTAGCATATCGTTATGAGTACATTGTAGTGTACGCTCCTCTAAATCGATGACCATCACATCGCCAAGCTCAAGCTGTTTCACAGACTAAATTGAATCTTAGAGTAGTTGATTCAGACTAATCTAGCATATAATATCCTTTCAAAAAAGCGAAGATGTGTATATTATATACCGCTTCAGAGAAGATTCTAATCTGAAAATATTTTTTTCTTGAAATAAATATAGTGAAATCATTACGCCAGAACCTACCATTCCTTGTAACAATCAATTTTAAACAAGGTCAAAATAATAAACCTGCAGAATTTTCTTGGGCACGCCTATAAGATATGGCATTGGCGCCCTGAAATTAAAAAGACAAGCTTTGTTAAACAGTAATTCTTAGAGAACTCTTATCCGTTACATTTTTGCAAAAGTCCAATACATTGCAACTTATCCAAGATGAGAGGGTTACACCGAAGCAGATTTGAAGAAGTTTAAACAAGCCAAAAACACAGTGCTAATCATGACCGACTACGGCTAGGAAACTTCGAACCACTTGACAGCTCAACTAACACATAAACTAAAAATGAGAAGAATTGTATATCGTGTCTTTTCGAAACTTTATAAGTAACTGTATCCATTATGTGAATGTGGTGGAGAAGGATGCGCTGCATTGAACAAACGATCTCAAACTAAGGGAATAAAAACAGTTACACCACATTTCGGTGGAAAAAATTTGAAAAACGAAGACGAAAAGTTAACAAATTAATAAGAAACCAAAATGATCAAGAGCAAACTTACATAAGCATATCAATCAAACCAATAGGAAGAACAGGAATGAAAAGATTCTGCCAGTGCATTGGATAAAGTAATGTAGCAGCAGCAAATATACATGATGAAAGTTGACCTAATTTCTGACTCGTAAATAAAATACGTCGTTCCTTTAATAAGCTGCAAATTAGAAAACTTCGTAACCAAGACATATTTCCAAAGCTTTTTCTAATGAGTACAAGTAGCGAATATAGACTGAAAGTAAAGAAAGCGAATAACTAAATAAATCATGTAAGATACAGATAGAGAAGTATATAAATAAATAAGAAAGAAGAGAAAGTAGTGAGTGAAAGTAAAAAAACAGACTTACCTTGCATACAGTGCAATCATTTGCTTTTCAGATATGGCATTGTAAAATTCAAGCATGGATTTATTCTCTTTCAAAGTGGGTAATCTGCTAATATCTGGTACAGTTACTTGTAATTTCTGAAATAAAAAAGAAAATAGGTGAAGGACTGAATCTGATATCTCCCAAAAGGGAATAAAGTACTAGTTCCTGCAAAGTACGTGTTTTACTTCTCTTAATTTTTACTTAATTTTTTTAAATCCCAATTTAAATTCTTAATTTTTAAATTAATTCCTTAAAATTAAATTAAGTCTTAATTTTTTTTTCTCAGTTGTTAAAAAATCTGTTTTAATATTACAGCAAATGTTGATGACACAGAAGCTCATATTCAAAACAACTTTTAATGTGAAATTATAAGTTTTTCATCGTTTCATTTATATTATTTTGGAATAATATAAATGGAACGACTTGAAAACTTGGAATTATTGCCGAAAATGGAATAAACACAAAAGACGTGTAGACAAAGGGAGAAAAACAAACATTTACACCAGGACTAGATTCGATAAGCAAACTCTCGCCTGGACCAAGAATAGGCGTATGGTAAGCACACGTCAGGAAAGAATCCAATTCATTTGTCTTAAAAAATTCTTCGTTTAGAACACGAAATAACCAGAGAAATACAACTAACACAAATTTTTATCAAATCTCAGCTGCAAAAACGTCTTGGAAATGAAAAGAGATCAAAAAAAAAAGATTTGTCAGAGTTCGTAATCTTCACATACCGGCCTGTTGTTCATCACTGCTGATATGTGATTAAGAATTTTGTAGAAAACATTGGTCCATGGAAGACCGCTGCAAAACTTTCACTTAGCGCCATCAAAATCAGAACAATTGAAAGTGAATTTAAAATTTCCAAGTATCAAACTTTCTGAAAAGGCAGTCTACAAAACACCTGAAAAGTCAGGTAAAGTCACTCATTTCAAACAAAAATCCGTATTATAATCATAATTTTATCTGAATATTGTGTAGTGATTTGGATTGAACTAAGCAATCAGAAAACTGACATACTTGTGCTCGTAATGCATTATAAAGAAAACTCAAATTTATAAAAGCATTCGAAAACTAGAAAGATTCCAAGGAAACCTGAGAATACAAATACATGTATTATTGTGTGGCATAAGTCGACAAAAAGCATACGTATGTTGTGACTTTTCGTCTGTTAAGACAAATGAAAACAGCTGTACCGTTTCCATGTTATAGCTGTAAGAGTATTCATTTATTTCAGTAAGTGTACTTTTGTAAA